TAAAATATAACAATGATCTAAAGATTAGATATTGTTGCTGTGATGCTGGAAGCTATGAGACCAGTATTTCAAATACCAGCAGGATCAACCATGGTAAACAGGCATTAGCTGAGCTTCCGGACTAAGACAGACTAGGAAGAAGGACCTGGCAGTCTACCTCTGAAAAAAATTAGCTAGTAAAAACCTGTGAATAGGAGCAAAACAGTGTCTGTTATAGTATCGGAATATGAGCCCCCCGCCCCCGCCAGGTCGAAAGCACTCAATACACGACTAAGGAAGAGATGCTTCCTCAAAGTAGAGTCAGCCTTAATAACGTGGATGAAGTCAATCTTTCAGGACCTTCATTTGCTGATGTGGCATGACTTAAAATGAGAAGAAACAACTGTAAACATCCATTAATAATCAGAACATGGAATGTACGAAGTATGAATCTAGTAAAGTTAGAAATTGTCTTGATGAAATGGAATGCATTAAGATAGATATTAGTGAGCTGAAATGGACAGTTATTGGCCACTTTGAATTGAACAATCATATGGTCTACTATGCTGAGAATGACAACTTGAAGAGGAATTGTGTTGCATTCATGGTCAAAAAGAAAATTTCAAGATCTGTGTTGAATTAAAATGTTGTCAGTGATAGGATAGTATTCATACAACTAATAGGAAGACCAGTTAATACGACTATTTTTCAGATTTATGCACCAACCACTAAGGCCAAAGATGAAACAATTGAAGATTTTTACCGACTTCTGCAGTTTCAAATTGATCAAACATGCAATCAGGATGCATTGATAATTACTGATAATTGGAATGCAAAAGCTGGAAACAAAGAAGGATGAGTAGTTGGAGAATATGGCCTTGGTGATAGAAATGATGCTGGAGATCACACGATAGAATTTTGCAAGTCCAATGTCTTCTTCATTGCAAATAACTTTTTTTAACAACAAAAGTGGAGACTGTACATGTGGACCTCACCAGATGGAATACACAGGAATCAAATCCACTATATCTGAGGAAAGAGACGATGGAAAACTCCTTGTCATCTGTCAGAACAAGGCCAGTGGTCGACTGCAGAACAGACAATTAATTGCTGATATGCAAGTTCAAGTTGAAGCTGAAGAAAATTAAAACAAGTCCACCAGAGCCAAAGCATGACCTTGAGTATACCCCACCTGAATTTAGAGACCATCTGAAGAATAGAACTGACACATAGAATACTAATGACCAAACACCAGATGAGTTATGGAATGACATCAAGGACTTTATATGTGAAGAAAGCAAGAAGTTATTAAAAAGACAGGAAAGAAAAGACTAAAATAGGATCAGAAGAGACTCTGAAACTTACTCTTGAACATCAAGTAGCTAAGGCAAAAGGAAGAAATGATGAAGTAAAACAGCTGAATAGAAGATTTCAAAGGGCAGCTTGAGAAGCCAAAGTAAAGTATTATAATGACATGTGCGAAGAGCTGGAGATAGAAAACCAAAAGGGAAGAACACGCTTGGCATTTCTTAAGCTGAAGGAACTGAAGAAAAAATTCAAGCATTGAGTTGCAATAGTGAGTAATTCTATGAGTAAAATACTGAATGACACTGAAAGCATTAAAAGAAGATGGAAGGAATACACAGAATCATTGTACCAAAAATAATTGGTCTGTGTTCAATCATTTCAAGAGGTAGCATATGATCAATAACCAATGATAATGAAGGAAGAAGTCCAAGCTGCACTGAAGATATTGGTGAGAAACAACCTCCAGAAATTGACGAAATACCAATTGAGACATTTCAACAAGTGGATGCCAGACTGGGTGTGCTCACTCATCTATATCAGGAAATTTGGAAGACAGCTACCTGGCCAACCGACTGGAAGAGATCCATATTTACGCCTGTTCCAAAGAAAGGTGATCCAACCTAATGTGGAAATTATTGAACAATATCCTTAACATCACACACAAGTTAAATTTTGCTGAAGATAATTCAAAAACGGTTGCAGCAGTACATCAACAGGGAACCGCCAGAAATTCAATCCAGATGCAGAAGAGGCTGTGGAATGAGGGATATCATTGCTGACATCAAGTGGATCCTGGCTGAAAGCCGAGAATACCAGAGAGATGTTTACCTATGTTTCATTGACTATGCAAAGGCATTGGACTGTGTGGGTCTGTCTCAGGCTGGGTTCTCTACAGAAGCAAAACCAGTAAAGTGTATAAATATATATACACAGATTTATATAAAAGAAATGGCTCACACAGTTGTAGAGGTAGGAAGATCCCAAGTCCTTGGATCAGGATATAGGTTTTTCCTGATTCGCATAGCCACTGGTGCTGATGAACCTAAGATTGGGAGGTCAGAGAGCAGGGTTCTTGCTCACAGGCTGAGAAGAACAACAAATCCTAAGATCGGCATGCAAGACCGACGGTAAGCTGCTAGCTCAAGCACCAGGAACCAGAGGTTAGACGAACAGAAGCCAGCTGCGGGATCCAGAAGGAGCAAAAGCCCCCGAGCCTTGCCAGAATGTCTACTTATATTCGGATGCAGGCCACACGCTCAAGGAAACTCCCTTTCAACTGATTGGCTACTCACAGCAGATCCCATCATGGGGATGATCACATATCAGATCACAACAGGGAAGTGATCACAACATTATACGACTGCCAAAACACTGAGAATCATGGCCCAGCCAAGTTGACACGCAATCTTAACCATCACAGGGTCATAACAAGTTATGAATAACATTGTGAAGACTGGGAATTCCAGAACAACTAATTATGCTCATGAGAAACATGTACATAGATCAAGAGGCAGTCATTCAAACAGAACAAGGGGATACTGCATGGTTTAAAGTCAGAAAAATGTGTGCATCAGGGTTGTATCCTTTCACCATATTTATTCACTCTCTTTGCAGAGCAAATAATCCAAGAAACTGGACTATATGAAGAAGAACAGAGCATCAGGATTGGAGGAAGACTCATTATCAACCTGCAATATGCAGATGACAAAACCTTGCTTGCTGAAAGTGAAGAGGACTTGAAGCACTTACTGATGAAGATCGAAGACTATAGCTTTCAATATGAAATATACCTCAACATAAAGAAAACAAAAATCCTCACAACTGGACCAATAAGCAACATCATGATAAACGGAGAAAAGATTGAAGGTGTCATGGGTTTCATTTTACTTGGATCCATAATCAATGCCCATGGAAGCAGCAGTCAAGAAATTATACGACACATTGCATTTGGCAAATCTGCTGCAAAAGACTTCTTTAGAGTGTTAAAAAGCAAAGATGTCACTTTAAGGAGTACGGTGCTCCTGACTCAAGCCATGGTGTTTTCAGTTGGCACCTCCTATGCATGTGAAATGAATAAGGAAGACCGAAGAATTGACGCCTTTGAATTGGTGAAGAACACTGAACGTACCATGGACTGCCAAAAGAATGAACAAATCTGTCTCGGAAGAAGTACAACTAGAATGCCTCTTGGAATCGAGGATGGAGAGACTTCGTCTGACATAATTGGACATGTTATGAGGAGGGTTCAGTCGCTGGAGAAAGACACCGTGCTTGGTAAAATAAAGGGTCAGTGGAAAAGAGAAAGACCCTCAATAAGATGGATTATCACAGTGCTGCAACAACGGGCTCAGGTATAACAAAGATCATGAGGATGGCGCAGGACTGAGCAGTGTTTCGGTATGTTGTATATAAGGTCACTATGAGTCACAACGGACTGGAAGACACCTAACTGAAACAAATTGATAGCAATGAAAATGTTCCAACTCCTTAATTCATTAATTCTGTTTCTGGGAATTTATCTTAAGTAGCTGAACGGTCAGTAGAAAACTATTGCTATAAGGATCATTCCTGCCACATAGCAGATAATAGTTTAAAACAAAGTAAAAACTCAAACTGAAAGAACATACTGATTCAATAGTTGTAAATGGTTAAAACAAAACCGTAATGAGTCTATATGATAAAATAACATAAAGCCTCTAAGAATATCAATCAGAAATAGTTCAAAAATTATGCAAAAATTTTAAGTAAATATATAAGTATCATTTGTTGGTAAAATAGAATTGTAAAATATGAGAAAGCATACAAGCTTACACACAAGATTTGTATTAAGAAAAAAGCAAAAAACTAAAGAAACCAAACTCACTGCAGTTGAGTTGATTCCGACTCATAGTGACCCCATAGGGTTTTCAAGGCTGTAAATCTTTATGGAAGCAGACTGCTGCATCTTTCTCCAAAAGAAAAAGAAAACCAAACTCATTGCCATGAAGTGGATTCTGACTTATAGTGACCCTATAGGACAGAGTAGAACTGCCCCACAGGGTTTCCAAGGGGCGCCTGGTAGATTCAAACTGCTGACCTTTTGATTAGCAAGCGAGTTCTTAACCACTATGCCACCAGGGTTTAAGTAAGCTCTTTAAAACATTAGGATGATAGGGTTACTTTTCATTTACAAATTATCCTTTTGATATATTATTATATTTTATTTACAAGTATATATAGCTTTCCCAAAAGGAGGGACTATGAAACATATTCACCTCATATTACCTTAAAAATACAAATAATTTATTAACGATGCTTCTTCAGAGTTTGTATACTTTTTCATATCACTCTTTCTTTGGAGGAATGTGTCTAACCTCTAAAAGGAAAACTAGAGGCTGGGTTTTAAAGTTTTATACTCTATCTGATCAAGGAAATGTAACCTGAAGACTAAAGCTCTAATCTGAGATTAAAGCTGAGGAACATGCCAAATTATGAGCTGGATTTTGATAGTTTCCCCATAGTATTTCCATGATAAGCATCTCTCTGTGCTTTTTAGTGCTCAGTTTTGCTGTCTATAAAATGAGGACTAGAGTGGGGTTTTGCCTGTTCACTTCATAGGTGTGTGCTGAGGATAGATGAGCCTGTATACTAAAACTGTTTTTGTTTCTTGAATGAAAAGCGCTTTATAAACCAATCAAAGTTCCATGTCTTTTCCGCCTTACATTTTGTTACAGTTACACAGGATGAGTGGAGAAGCAGTCATACAATAGAAATAGAGGTAAATTGGACTCTGGAAATACCATGCTTTCAAAACATCTCCTCAGAAGTTTCACCTGCATTCACCTTTACATGGTTGGTGGTAAGTGTTGCCCTTTTCAGTGAAAAACTGCAATGATCTTTAAATATTAATGAATTAAAAATGATTAGGAAGTAAGAGCAGGGAAGGAGACACCGTGGATGAGAGGCAGGCATTATGAGGGAGGTTGGGGTAGGGTTGGGGCAGTGAGGAGAGGGCACTAAATTTCCTTCTAACTCAGCAAGACTTGGAGTCTATGAATGTGGTCAATTAATTTAGAAACTGACTCCTAAAAGTTAGTTTCTATTTTGAACTAGATGCTAAACCATGATTACAGAGAGAACACGATGTGATAGTGCACTGGAGAGGAACCACATCCAGCAGCAGCCCTTCCTCACAAATATTTGTTTTACAAACAACATATGACCCCTTTTCCCTCTTTGTCCAGAATCCTTACTACTGACAAGGGAAGTATATGGGATATATATCCTATTGCTTTAGATTGGAAAACACAAACTCTATGCTTATAGCTTGTAGGTAGAAAATGTACGTGAGAAGAACTGTATAAGCAACAGGCACTGCTCAACTCTAGTCCATTATTACAATAGGGGCTGCAGTCTTACAGTTGTCATATTTTCTAAATTAAAAAAAGAAAAAACTAGAAATCTGATTTTTATGAGATATTTTCAAATTTTAAGAGCAATGTGTAGCAATGTGTGGTCTATTATTTTGAAAGATCAGTTTACCAATGTACTTAAAATACATCACTGACATTTATCAAAGAAAACGATTTCATTGAATCTTCACTTCTATATTATAGCTAAGTAGTTCTTTTATGTTAGTTCGTACAAAGATGTCTTCCATCCCTCTTATCACAAAGCAATTGTGATATGGATGCTATATTTTAATTTCTGTTGAGTTGCTTACTGTGTGCTGTGTGATGAATGAATTCTCCCACTATTTTTGTCTAACGGAAGTGTTGCAAAACCTTCATCTATCCAGCTCCGTAATTTAATCTGGCCTGTCCTTTAATGTGAATATATCATTCATGTATTTTGTCTGCCTTTGTTATTTTATCATTAGTCTGCAACATTATCCTGCTATATTGTCATTTTATTTCTAAGGTCTAAATTTAATTTAAAGGAGCCCTGGTGGTGCAATGGTTAAGCGCTCACTTGGCTGCTAACCAAAATGTTGTCAGTTTGAACCCACCAGTTGGTCCGTGGGAGAAAGAGGTGGCAGTCTTCATCCGTAAAGATTACAACCTAGTATCTATCAAATGAATATTATCGCACTTTTGTCTCTTAACAGGTAAACAAAATCAACAGGCGTATAATAGTGGATATGGGATACTTGTGTCATTTTAACCTTAATGCAAGCCAACCAAATGACAGCCAGATATCAACCAACATAGTAAACATCTGTGACTGTTAAATCGGTTGATAACATGAGGTTAATACAATTATAAAGATAACCATAAACACAGGCTCTAGAATCATACAACAAGGTGTTCCTTTAGATGATCCAGAATATAGTTATATTAATTTTTTCAATATTATCAAAATGAAAACATAAGATTTAAAAATCCTCGTGGAACTCATAGGTCTTCATGAATGTAGAAGCTGATGCAGTTTAAAAAACACTGTATTTGCGTGATTCATCATTCATATTATAAGTTACCTATATGTTGTAGACTGACTTGAAAACTAGACTCTACATATAAAGAGATTCCTCTGGGGATGTGCCAAATCCAAAATAACTAACTTGTAAGCAGGCCTTAATATAAAGCCTACTAATAATTTGTCACTGTCTAGACGTGCTTTTTTATGATTATGAAAGTGATGCAGGACAGGGCAACGTTTCATTCTGTTTTACATGAGATCACTATGAATTAGAGCTAATTTGATGGTAATAGTAACAGATGTATTCTAGATAGACTACAGATGAAAAAAAAATATCTACAATAACTTCTTTAAACTGTTCTAAAATCTACAATGTCTCTTTTTCATCTGTCACAAAGCACATTTTTTTCCTTTACAGGTTTTGGTTTTCAAGATGATTAAGGCTTCTTGGGCATTGTGTCTATCATTAGTACGTCAACTGCTCTTAACAAACGTGATACAATATGGCTTTTAGAAAAAGGTTAAAAAGTGGAGATGAGCTCAGAAGGGCAGAAACCTGTTATTCTAAGTGTTAAGGTAATGGAAATGCACTGTTTATACCTTGCTTACATCATTAATATTTTCCACTAATAGGGCAAGAAGTTACTATCCTAATTATCACAAATTCACTGTCAATGGGAATCAGTTCAATAGAACTCTACTGTAGAGGTTTGTATGGACCAGTAAGTTCGTCTATTAAGTGCTTGGCTGCTAACCAAAAGGTTGGAGGTTTGAGTACACCCAGAAGCACATTGGAAGAAAGGCTTGGTGATCTACTTCCAAAAAACAGCAATTGACACCCATATAGAGCACAGTTTTACACCATTCATTTCACAAATCCCTAGCACCTAGCGTAGTGCCTGAAGCGTAACAGGTTCTCAATAACTACTTAATAAATAATTAAATGGATTTGTTTTTCTCCCATTTCTTTCCCCACAGTCCTAGTTATTATCCTTACATTAAATCAATGCTCATTAAATCCATGCTGACTGATTTGTTGGTTGATGAGTGACATTTCACTTAGTGTCAACGATTAGATACAGCTTCTTTATCTAGTACTTTTCTTCAAATAAACTACAAAGGCTATGTAGACATTATCTTTGGAACCCCTGCTGAGACTTTTAAGATAAATGAGGTCCAGAGAGGGTGCAGGTAAGGTCACACAGAGAGAGGGTGACTCCTAAACTCCTACTAGAACCTCAAGCAACGCTGTCACCATGAATACACCAGATACAGAATTTTATGAAAGAATCCTCTCTTCAAAGGGAACATTGTATTGGCAAATACGGTAATTAAATTCCTATTGTGCTTTCTCTTTTTAAATATCAAAATCCATTTGCTCCTCCAATTTATATCCCTGCCCCACACTGTTGATGGCTGTGGGATTCAGCAAGTTGGATAAGAAACCATTTAATCTCCTTACATTGGGGAATAAACTGCAGCTCTTCATGAGATGATTATTATATTTCTTCAGAGAATATAAATATCCCCTTCAATTCATATTTTATGCCCTTAGTCTCTTGTTAAACTGACAATAATCATCGTCGTGGTGATGATAAGCCAGTTTTTCTAACATGCTATAATTTGACTTTTAGAGACAGGTTAAAAAGTATAAATGGTGACGAATTGTTGACAAGGGCAGAAACCTGCTATCCCTAACTCAGTAACCCTAAGAATCTGCAAAGGCCTCCCCATCCCAAGTGCTTCTTTAAACCCCAGAAACAATCTTATAAACCAAAATTGTCTGGGTCATGGGAAAACAAAACTCAAGTCTTTTTATATGTGGAATTTTTAAAATTCTAATCAATTCTGTTAAGACATTCATGAGAAAGGCTATTATTGAGGTGCTTAATTATCATCAACAAAAATATTATTTACTATGTGTACCTGGTACCATGCTAAGCAGGTGTTAAATGTGTTAGTGGAAATGATTCTTTGCATTTTGGGAACTTATATTCCAGGATTGTGACTGATGAAGTAGACATCATGAGAAGTAAGTAAACACAAAGTTTATGTGAATGGTGGGGTGATATATAAGAAATCATAGATTATGAATTTTTAATAGGATGCATTTAGTAGATTTTCCCACTTTTTGTACTAGGACACAAGCCTATAACATCAGGGAAATTCTGCAAGCTTATTCTGGGTGCCTCTAAATACATGCTGGTACTGGGTGCTGCAAACATTAAGCATTCAACTACTAGCCTAAAGGTTGGTGGTTTGAACACACCCACAGGCACCTATGAAGCAGTTCTACTCTGTTCACATGGTGTATCTTAGTTATCTAGTGCTGCTGTAACAGAAAGCCAAAAGTGGGTGGCTTTAACAAAGAGAAATTTATTCTCTCACAGTTTACAAGGCTAGAAGTCCAGATTCAGGGTGCCAGCTCTAGGGGGAAGCTTTCTCTGTCAACTCTGAGAGAAGGTCCTTGTCATCAATCTTCTCCTGGTCTAGGAGCTTCATTGGACCCTGGGTCCAAAGGATGCACTCACTCCTGGCTCTACTTTCTTGGTGGTAGAAGGTCCCAGAAAGGGGCTATAGTGCTGCTGCTGTCCAATTACAAGTGGTGCCTGTATATCATGCAGAATGATCTCTACTTCAGTCAGCTGGTCATAAGGAACTCCCCAAGAGGTCATAGGTGCAGACTGGGAGATGGAAGGTAATGACAGGAGTGGAGACCATGGGCATTAGGGCCACTTCCTCATGTAACTTACTCATGTCTTGAGGTCCTACTCAGGCCCAATCTCATATATACCACTTCCATTTAATGATAGAGTGCTGCTGTGCACATCTAACTTTATGGTTCTATGGGTCAGACAACACCTAGTTCATGATGAGCAGCTCAGACCACATGGTTACTTGGTGGCCCATGGTTAAGCATTCAGTCTCTACTAAGGCCCAGTAGCAAGCCAAAAGCTGTTTCTCAAAAGGAGAGTAGTTATCTGCAGAGGATGACAGGCTTTGCTCCAAAATCCTAAGGATCTGTGCTGTGATTCAGCAATAGGGGCCCGCCAAAGACTCCAAACAGCATCTCTATTTGCCACCGACACTTCAAGCACCATTGGATCACCCAGATCATATGGCCCAAGTGGCAAAGCAGTTTTCGTGGCAGCCTGAACCTGTTGTCAGAAGCAATAACTTATCCTTCACTTTAGAAGGAATATCTGGACATGCCCCACACCACTGGACCCCAAGAAATTTCACTGAGGTGGAAGGTGCCTGAATTTTGTGGGATTAATTTCCCACCCCCAGCACCCAAATGTTTTACCAATAAGTTCAGAGTCATTAACACTTCTTCCTTACTAGTTCCAATCAGCATAATGTCATCAATGTAATGGACCAGTGTGATGTCTTTTGAAAGGGAAAGACAATCAAGGTCCCTGTGGATTAAATTATGACATAGAGA